GGAACACTTCCCTCCTGTGCCCTGCTCAAACTGTAGCTGTGGAGGAGTGTCAGGTGTGCTGAAACATGCAGTGCTGGCTGGGTCTGTTTTCCCAGGAAAGCTGAAATGGAATTTAAAGAGAGAAATTTGGATTTTATGATCTTAAAGGTCTTTCCCAACCTAAGTGATTCTGTGGTTAGAGCCCTGAGAGCAAGGCAGGCAGAGCTGGGACCTGCCCTGCTCTTGGGTGGCACCTAAAGGAGCAGCCAGCTGGTGCAAAGTGTCACTTGGTGCACAGGTTTGGAACCAGGGGACAAAGGTGCCTGTGCTGTCACACCTCCTGGAACAAAGGAGATGGGTCTGCAGGAGAACAGCCTGCCCCAAACTGTGATAGAATCGTGGGCTGGGTGGTCTGCCCACCCTCTGCCAGAGGGAAGTTCTGGAGCTCTGATAGCCAGATGTCTCTTGTTATCTGTGTGTGGGCAAAGGCTGCAGCTGTGGGGGTCAGACACGGGCTCTGCTGACATATCTTTGTCTGCAGACAGGGGCAGCTCCACGCAGGGAGCTCCAGGCTCTGCTTGGAGAGGAGGCTTAGGAGGACAACAGGAGTGTGCCTGGAGCTGCCCCCAACCCACTGACTGTTCAGTCTGGCAGAACTTGTCAAGTGGGGCACAGGTTGTTGGGGAACAATCCCAGCCCCCCTGGAATGGAGCCCCTGGGGGTTCTGCAGCAGCTTGGAGCTCAGGTAAACCAACAGACTCCAGCTATAAAATTGCACGTTTCTAAATTACCTTCTGACTTGTGCTTCATTGGAGAGCTGACAGATAAATGTGAGGGGGAGAGATAGAGAGTCTAACTCAGGAAAAGCTCTGTAAGCAGACACCCCAGCAGGGCAGTAAAAGTCAAGATGCTGTGTTGAGTTTCCCCTTCAGGTGCCTGGTGTGGGGGAGCTCCATTTCAGCTGTTCTCAGAAACTTTGATCTGAAATTACTCCCTCTTAATCTGACTAATTTAGCAGCTGATCCTTTAGCCTGGCCTTTGTACATGTGGTGCCTTTCTGGCTCATCTGCTGTCTCCTTGCTGGACTTCTTGCTCAGGTGAAGTGGTTTTGATCCTTCTCCTACTGGTTTTCACCTTGTCACACGTCAGTGTGAACAGCCTGTTCGGTCGGTAGCACTCAGGTGGGACGGTGGAGGAACTGGATGTTGCCAAAACTGCTCCTGGGCTGACATTTCCTGGAGCAGACTGAAAACTTCAGATTATATTTTCCACGTGGATGAACACGTTGGATGTTTTGTAGAAATTCTTTTTTATAATCAATACGTTTAGCTGAATGGTCCTGGCTCTGTTCTGAGTTGTTTAATTCTCTTCAGTGGAAGTCCAGGTCATGGAACCATAGAATGATTTGGGTAGGAAGAGACCTTACAGTTCATTTAATTCCAACTCCAAGCAGGGACACCTCCCACCAGCCCAGGCTGCTCCAAGCCCCATCCAACCTGCCCTTCAGCACTGCCAGGGATGGGGCAGCCACAGCTTCCCTGGGCAACCTGGGCCAGGCTCTCACCACCCTCACAGCAAAGAATTTCTTCCTGTTGTCTAACCTAAATCTCTCCTCTTCCAGCTTAAAACCATCCCCCTTGTCCCATCACTAGGCACCTTGGTTCAAAGTCCAAAGGGACAAGCTGTCAGGGTGTGCATCTCAGGTATGGGTGCTTGTGAGCAGGTCACTGAACTTTTTGGGGGGCCTCTCCCACAGCTGTTTGAGCCTGGGTGTGCTGCACGAGAGCAGTGATCAGTGGTGTTTGAGGTGCACGGGTCCTGCGCTGCTCTCCAGGATGAACTGAGCTGCTCCTCTTCCTCTGTTGGCAAGAGCTGTTGTCAGCAGAAACCCGGGCTGGGCTGCAGTGTCTCCTCAGGCTCACGTGTGGTGGGTTTTCCTTCTCCAAGGTACATGACGGCCAATGCCGAGTCTGACTACGACCGGGACACCGAGAGGGAGAGCGAAGAGGGGGAAGATGCCGTGAGCTCTGACGCGGTCGGGACCACGCGCCGGGGTTCCCTGCAGCTGGGCACTGAGGCTGAGCCACGTGTACCCTCGGATTCCGGGCAGGAGGAAGGGCTGGGCCAGCTCCTGCAGCAGGCTGACCGCCTGCACTGCGGGGACGCGCAGGAGAAGAGGGAGGGGTTCCAGCTGCTCCTCAACAACAAGCTGGCGGTACCGGTCCCTCTTGGTGTTCTCCAGCATGATCTGTGTTCCCAGAGAAGGGGCTGGGAAGAGGAAATGGTGCCTCTTAGCAGGGTCCTGCAGTACAACTGGGCCAGTGTCATCACTTCCCTGTGTGGAGCAGTAGTACCGTGTGTCTGCAGGGAACTCGGCCAACCCTCTGGGAATGTTCCCCTCCTTCCGTGTGCGACAACTCAGGAAACGTGGAGAGTCCCAGGACTGCCCAGTTGTGGGGGGGTCAGGGAATAAATCAGTGGGATGTTCAAGCGGAAGGGTTAGGGAACACGTCATGTTAGTGAATGAGATTGGAAACCTGGGGGGGCAGGGGTTTCACTGCTGTAAAGAGTGTGGGTGAGTGCACCGGGGGGCCTGGCCAGGGGGTGAGGGACAGTTGTAACTTCTGCTTTCTGTCGATGGCAGAAGGGGTTTTGATGTAGAACGTGCCTGTTTCCACCCCAGTATGCAGAGCAGAAGGACTTCCTGTGGCGCCTGGCCCGGGCACACAGCGACATGTGCGAGGTCACCGAGGACGCCGACGAGAAGAGGACGTACGCCCTGGAGGGTGAGGGGGGGCCTGGGGCCAGGGGGGGCACTTCCAGCTGGCCCTGCATGGCTGTTGAGCATTTTCCTTCCTGAAAGGCAGTGCAGACCACAGGCTAATTCAAGGTATAAAAGCTGGTCTCTCAAACCTGTCCTCTGTGCTCCGTGATTCCACGCGGTGCTAAGGGGAGTTTTTGCTGCAATGCATTTTGTCTTTTTGTGCTGCCAACTCCTGCAGATGTAAAAAAGAAATTACATTTTTAAATGTGGATTTACTTAGAGTAGTCAGATTAGCTTCATTCCCTCATTCTTCTTTGCTGTCTCGAATGTGGTTTGGTTTGGGTGGGTCAGAATAAAGAGTCAGTTCATACTGTAACTGTATCTTACATGATTATTCGTTTCTGGCAATCAGTGCAGCCATTTAAAGCATGACATCTTCACTTTTATTTTGGTAGTCCTTTTAGCCTGCACTTAGTTTTCAGCTTTTTGAGACTATAAGTTCTTGGGGGAGAAAGGAAGAAGTGAGGGGCAGGTCTTAGATCTGAGAGTGCAATAAATCAGAGCAAAACTGCTGAAAGCTCTGACCTTTTCTTACCATGGTGGAGAAAGCCTGTTCCCCATAGACAGCTGCTCTTCCAGGTGAGGTGCAGCCACATTGCTGCTCTGCTCAAAGTCTGCATGACCTCTTTGAGTGGTCTGGGATGTTTCCTATGGCTGCAAGAGTATGAAATTATTTACAGAGCACTTTCACACCCAAGGTCTTATAAAACTACCAAATATATCACTTTTTATGCTGTTCTGCTCTCACAGCCTCAGAGGAAGAAGTTGGGAGAGAAGGCAGCTGCTGTGTTTCTTACCTCTGACCCTTTGTTTGCAGGGAAGGAAGATCTGGAAGCTGCCTTACAGAAGTGGGATCAGAGTGCTGAGTGCCATCAGTGGTGGGTGACTTTTCACTTCTTGCTTTTAAGAAGCATCAGAAAAGGACTCAGAGATTGCTGTGAGCTGAGCTGCATTAATTTTAAAAACCCAACAAAAACGATCAGCTTTGGTTAATTGGCATATTAAAAAGCAGCCAGAAGCTGAGGAGCTGGTGTGTGCCTGGCAGGAGGCTCCCCTGGCACCACCTGTGCAGACCCTGGGAAGGGGCAGATTGGAGCCCCCTGGTCTGTGCTGGGTGTAGCTGGGCTGCCAAAGGATGTCACACACAGAACTTGCAGAAAGCTAGTTCCTGGCTGGGAGAGCTCAGCAATTTTCTTGTTGTTTCTTGATTCTCTTTGACAAGTCCTGTGTTTCCTTTGGCCCCTTCTCAGCCCCTGGAGCCCCGTGTCCTGTATCCTGCACAGCCCAGCTCACAGCCAGCTGCTCACTGTGGAGGCAGAGCCTCAGGAGTTACATATTAAAGATGAATGAGGTTTTTCCTGTGTGTTCCTCCAACATTCTCGGGTTCACTGTGGGTTTTCACTCTGATACTGACATTTCAGTCATGCTCCCTGGTGCAGAGATGCTTTGTGCCAGGAGGGGATGTGTTTGTCTCAATCAGCCAGGCCTGTGAGCTTAGTGCTGTGCCAATGTTCTTGTATTAATCTTAATTCTGGAGTGAGGAGAAACATAATTCTCCCCAGACAGCCTTTTATAGGCTTCTGGAGAGTGTCTGCTGGGCTGGAACTGCTCAGGGCACTGCTGGGCACTCTGCAGAGCACTCTGGCTCTGACATGACATGAGACAGCAGCATGTGGCTCTGAGGGCCACATGAGGGGATGGGGGCCAGGGGGCTGAGCTGGGAGGGGCTGCCCAGTCAAGCCCACCTGTGTGTGGTGGGAGGAAAATGTGTCAGTAGAAAGCTCTGACAGCCCAGGTGGAGATACTGCAGATGTGGACATCAGCTCCTGCACCTCAAAAGGCTTCACTCTGCAGCTCTTGTCACTGGGGTTGGTGCAGGTGGCACCTTCCTTGGCAGCACTCATGGTCCCTGCAGTCTCTTCTGATGGTTGGAACATCTCCCTCAGGTACCTCCAGGCTCTTTGCTCTTGGGAGAACAGCTGAAACTGTTCTGAGTAAAACCAGAGCTTTAAACAGGTGTGAGGTCACTTCGTGAAAATGGTTTGTTCTACCCCAAGAATACCACTGGTATCTTCATGCTCCCTGGGATGAGTACATCTCATTCCCCAGAGGGAACACATGTGGCCCATTCCTGGCACCTCCAGGGCAGGCTGGAGATCTTCAGCAGATAGCACTGACACAAAAATGCAACAAAACTGAGGACACATTGTGTCCCAGCTGAGGGAGCCAATGAAGATTTCAACTGTTGTAGGATGCAGGGGGGCAGAGAAGGGGCTGTTTCAGCTCATGTTTTCTGTGACAGACACTGGAATTTTGACTGAAATCACCAGTGTTGATGGTTTCAGCCATGTGTCTGGGTGAATTCCTGACAAGCTAACATGGAACTTGGCAGGATTTGCCAGGTCTCCTTGGAGCCTGAATGTGTGCATAGGGTTGTGCAGTAAGTGTGGAACAGAGCACTGATCCAGAGAAGTGTTTGCTTTCTAGTGTTTAAGGAATCAAGAACCCAGAGTTGGGAGGGACCTGCAGAAAGTCATCTCATCTCTTGCAGTGCCAGGTGTGCCAGAACTGTCCCTGAGCCCCAGAGACTTCCAGTGATGGAGCCTGGCCAGTCCCCTTCTCTTTCCTTTCTCCTGTTTTATCAAGTACTGTATTTAATTGCATAGATACCATATATATTAAAAATAATCTCTATATGAATGATATGCATAGCTCTGTGGGCTCTTCCTGCTGTCAGCCTTATCTTTGCTTTTACTTCTGTCCTCTCCAGACATGGGCAAAAAGTTGATTGTGAGGAGCTGTTTGTAATAGCATCCATTAGTTGTTGTATTCATCCAGTCTTTGGAAGGGAGGCAGCCCTGCTGGGCCCAGCCTGGTGCTGAGATGTGCTCTGCAACCCTCCCAGTCTCCTTCCTGCCTTGTGGACTCTCTCCAGCTCATCCTTTTCTTCTTTCTTTTTTTTTTTTTCCCCTTTTTAATGTATTACTCAAAAATTGTATATAGTCCTTTAGCTGAGGCTTCCAAGGACAGGATCATGTTATTGCCTTGAGCAGCTTCTGATCTACTGTAACTTTTAAATTTGATTTTCCTCTGTGACCCCCTCCCATTAATTGGTGAATTTTCTAGCATTTGCTGCTCTGCAGCCTCTTTAAATTTAATCTCCACTATATTACCCAGTTTAATGGAGTTATTTAATAGCATCAGTGCTGCTGGGACTCTTTTTGCTACTCTTCCAGTGTCTGTTTGTTCATGGTCATTTTCAAAGGACAGTTAATCATGAAAAAACTGGGGCAAAGGAGACTTGGGTGATTCATTCACTTGAAAACAAAGTCAGGTTCTTTCTGGTGGGTGCTTCTCAAAACAGATCAGACAGATTTCCAGCAATGAGCCTCCCGTGTGTGCCCTTCAGTGAACTGCACATCAGCTCCACACCAGTTCCAGCTATTCCATGTTCCCTGTGTTTGCTTCCAGGAATGTCACAAAAAGGGTGCTACTGCTCCTAAAACAGAGTATACACCAGGCTGTCTTTTGGTCCCTGTTTGTGTCTCTGAAAGCAGGAGATCTAGGTTACTTGGACATTCCTGTCTCTCACTGGAAGCTCCTGCACTTTTCCATCTGTTGGAGAGACACTGAGCTGCATGAACCACTGCTGGTTCATCAGCAGTGGCTGGTGCTGGACACAGGAATTAAAGACAACCCCAAGTGTCTGAGCAAGTTTTCTGGAGGTGGTTTGGAGTGAGTGTCTGAATCCATCCTGGGAATCCAAGGGTTGCACTTCTCTGTCTATTTTCTCAAAACCATAAAAGTTGTTTTCATGGACCATAGTGAAGACCTTCATACAAATATCTGGGAATTTTATGGCTTGGCAAAGGGATGATGTTCATCCTGCTATATCCATGGCTCTTAGGATTCCACTCATGAGTTGAACTTGTCTGAGGTCCCTGCAGGATTGTGAGTGAGGCTGAAGTTGTTCCCAGACTCACCCCTGGCAGTCCTGGGAAGCTCACTGAGCTTTTTGCAAAGTTGTGCTCCCAGTTGCTGTATCACTTCAGCTGGAAAAATGTTCCCTGTTACATTTCCCACCGAGCTGGGCAAGCCTGTGGTTGAGGGCAGCTCTTGAGGAGAAGAGGTTTGGGGCAGGTTGAGGGGAGTTTAAGAAATGAGGTATTTTATTTTCACTTTCTCACCATGCAAACGTGTGTTACCCACCTGCAGTTAAAAATCAATGTGCCAGCCCCTGCATTAGGAGGTTACACACTTCAGTGAAGGGGTACTAATTACTAAATGAATGGTTATTTGCATGTGTGTTCCCTTGCAGTCTGGATGCCTGCATGCTGATCACTCCTTCCCTTTCTCCAGTGAAGAGATTAACATGTACCTGCTCTGCAGGGGGAGGTTAAAAAACCTGGTAATGCTCATAAAATACCAGGGAACTTCTAAAGCCTTTTCAAGATGCATATTTTGGAGCTCTGCTTCTCTGAATTGCTCACTTGAAACATGAGATGGGAGAGCAGTGCAGGGAGGGAGGGGGTTTGAACATCTGTGGTGTGGGGAGGTGAGGTGGGAAGGTGCAAACCCACGGGTAATGAACCTTCCTTGGCTTTCCCAGCTCGGGCAGTAACGAACCGTGCTGGGTACTGTGCTGCTCAGGCTCAAAAGTCACCACCTTTTACTAGATGAAACTAAATGGCTTTGCACTTGTAAGACTGAAAATGTGTTGTTTCCTTCCCCACGTTGGGTGGCCGTGCTGGGCTGCAGGATCTAGGTAGGTTTTCAGTGTCCCCCCTGGAAGCAGAGGGTAGAGAGTAGAGCTGGAGCTGCCTGGGGTGGCTGCTGAGCCCCGTAGAGCTTGCCCTGTGCCTGCTGTAGTGATTGCTCCTCATTGCTCTGTGCTCTGACACAGTCCTGGTGCTGAGGGAAGATGTTCAGGGTGTAGAAGCTCCTGCCCTGTGGAGAAGGAAGGCAGGGAGTGCTTGTGTCCCCTCCTGCTGCCCCAGCAGTGCCCTTCAAGCTGCCGCCTTCCCACACGCTGCGCTTTTATCGCACACTTCACCCTGTGAAGGCTGTGCAGCATCCCTTGTGCTCCCGAGGAAGCTGTGAAGCTTTCATGCATTTGTGTCCCTCCCTGCTGAAGGTGCCAGGGTGCACGTAGAGCTTGGTCTCACGCCAGCCCCTCTGTGCAGTATGCTGTGCCTGTGTGGGCAGCTGGCGGAGCACGAGAGCATCCAGAAGCGCATCCAGACCGGGTACATTTTTAAGGTGAGTCCCAAGGACCTGCTGGGTTCTGGGTGAGTACTGACCAGGGCTTGTTGCTGCAGGAGGAAGTCAGGAAAATGGGCCCCAGCTCTCGTTAGGGGAGCCTCAGGTCTGAAGATGCTGTGAGTGGGTGGTGTGGTGGGAGGGTTATTCCAGCACCCTGGGATGGGGGGGCTGCTCTGGCTCCCACTGGGTGTGCTGGAGTATCAGAAAGAAAGGCAAAAAGAGGAAGAGTGTTGCACTGCTGAAGGTGCCAGGGTGCACGTAGAGCTTGGTCTCACGCCAGCCCCTCTGTGCAGGTATGCTGTGCTGTGTGGGCAGCTGGCGGAGCACGAGAGCATCCAGAAGCGCATCCAGACCGGGTACATTTTTAAGGTGAGTCCCAAGGACCTGCTGGGTTCTGGGTGAGTACTGACCAGGGCTTGTTGCTGCAGGAGGAAGTCAGGAAAATGGGCCCCAGCTCTCGTTAGGGGAGCCTCAGGTCTGGAGATGCTGTGAGTGGGTGGTGTGGTGGGAGGGTTATTCCAGCACCCTGGGATGGGGGGGCTGCTCTGGCTCCCACTGGGTGTGCTGGAGTATCAGAAAGAAAGGCAAAAAGAGGAAGAGTGTTGCACAGAAACGTGTGTGTGATGGGACTGAGAACTTGCAACGTGACATTACCATGGTGATAAGACAGAGCACCAGCCCTTCCTCAGGCCCTGCACCCTTGGGAATGCAAATCCTCAAAGGATTGAATCTGCCTCAGGCTCCTGACCTTGCCTTTCATCCCCAGCTGGGGTGTCAGGGCTCTGAGGGCACCTCAGCAGTTGCTGTCTGGTGCTGTGTCATCCTCACCTCCTTAGTACTGATGTGACCAGGAAGTTGGTTATGTCAGAGCTGTGAAAAGGTGGCAGCACAAAAGGAGGGGCAGCCTCGTGCTTGTGTGTGTGGGGATTCCTGGCTCTGGGGCTGGTAACACCCTGGGTTTCTGGGTTCACTTAAACCATTTTAAGAAAACGTAGAATCTCTTTGTAGCTGTAATTTGGTCACTGGTCACACTGTGGGCTTCTTCCATCTTCCCACATGAGCTGCCCTGCTCCTGTGGATATTGTGTTTGCTCATAACAACAATGTAAGGTGTGTTGGGGATGGTTTTCCACAGGAACACGTCGATAAAGCGATTGAGCTGAAGCCAGAGGATCCCAAGTCTCACTACCTGCTGGGCAGGTGGTGTTACGAGGTACAGTCATTTATTACTCCTTATTGCTGTTTTCTTCCTCCTTGGGATATAATTCCCTGTTTGAGTGAAACAGCTTGGTGGGTGCAGACCACCAAGCTCTAAGGACACTCTTCAGCTGCTGGACTCAGGTACTGGGTCAGGAAGTACTGGCATGGAAATGTCCAAGCTGCTTGAAGAAGTAGTTTTCAAGTTGCACTTGTGTGGGATCTACAGACTCTTCAGTCCTGAGACAGTGCCAAGAAGCCCCCCTGCTGATGTGGTGCATTCAGAATTGGAGCTCAGAAAGGCTCAGGGTTCTGCACTTAGTTTTTCAGTCCCTGCAGGCAGCACGGGAGGTGGAAGGCAAAGGGTGGGTTAGGAGAAGCACTGGCTGCAAACTAGCTGACTGCTCCCCCTGCTTCACCCCGGGAAAACAAGCTGCCTTCAGTCCTTTCAGCACATCTGGATGTGATCAAGGGCATTTCAGGCTGGCAGGAGCTTCTGCACACAGAATCTCTAATCCTTGGCATGTGTTTCCTCTGCCCGTGCCCCACGGAGCCCTGGGAGCAGCTTGTGTTTCCTGACAGGGAAAAGCTTGGAGTCCAGCACCATCAATCAGTTAGGGCCTGTGAAAAGAAATGAGAGTTTGCAGTAACTGTCTGCTTTTCAGTTTATCCAATTCAAAAGCACTTTGCTGCTGTCAGAGGGGGAGCTGCATTGCAGCTGGGATGGTTGACACTGGTCATTGCAGAGGAGCAGTGAGCTGAGCTGGTGGGAGCTCCTGCTTGTTCTCTTGTGGAATTTTTGCTCAGCCTTGCTGCTCTCAGAGCTGCTGAAGCTGTGGAACAAGCAGATTGTGTAGGAACATGTTAGTGCTTCTGCTGTCTCATGGTAAGAGTTATACAGCATCAAACAAAGGAGCTGTTTTCAGGAGTTCCTGTCCTGTGTGCCCTGGTCCCCACGGCCATTGCAGGGGGATTCTTAGAGGAGCTGGGAGCAGGAGAATTGAGATGGAATCAAAGAGCTGCCTGGCCCTTCAGATGTGACTGGTGGTGGGAAGGATCCCTGGGTGGTGAGAACAGGTTCTTGTCCCAGATGGGAGCTGGGAGGCAGGAGGGCTCTGTGCCCCATGCAGAGGTGGGACCTGCTGGGGCTCAGCTGTAGGGACAGATCTTTGAGTGTTATGCATGTGGCACCTGATGTGTGGAGCTGCAAATCTGACCTGGGGCAAGAAAAGCAGATCAGGTTTAATTCTGTGGCCAGACTTGGAGACTGGCCCAGGCTCTGCCAGCCCTGCCGAGGACTTTGGCTTTCTCCCAGGCTCACCAGCTGCAAGAAACCAGATGATTCCTTGTCTGTTTCTCCAGGGGGCTTTGACAGTTCCATCTTGCTGTCTCTGCAGGTGTCCCACCTGGGCTGGCTTGAGAAGAGAACTGCTGCTGCCTTGTTTGAAACGCCCCCGAGCGCCACGGTGGAGGATGCTCTGCAGAGCTTCCTGCGGGTGAGGCCGCCTGGGGGAGCTGCCACCCCTGCTGCTCGACAGCCAGACAGAGCAACCTGGTGCTGAACAGGCCAGAACTAGACCCAAAGTGTCCAGAATGGGTTTTAAGGAGCTTCCTTTTAAAAGCTGCAGAGGGGAGAGGTTCATTGCTTGCCACCAACTGCTGTGGGTCTGTGGAGCTGTTGGAGCTCATCCCCACACAGACACTCATTCTGTCACTGTAACTCCTCTCAGATATTTTATCAAAGCTCTGACTGATCAGGTCAAACCCCTCCAATTCCAGCTTGTGAAGACTTTAAGGTTTCAGGGGCACGTTGCTTATGTATTTCTAGAAAGAAATTCTTGGGAAGACTTCTTGTGGTGCACAGATCCTCCCTTCTGAAGGGCTTTTGTTTGTCCTGTTGATGGAAATGAAGTTGAGACATGGCCTGAGAGGCATTTTTGAGCAGACAGCTCTTGTTGCAAGGGTCTGCACCAGATGAAGGAGCTACCCAGACTGTGCTTGGCTGTGCCTGTGAGAACTTCTCTGAAGCTCCCCTGATGAAGTGTTACAGAAACAAATTGTCCCAGTTCATAACTCAAGAGACTGGGCCAGCACTTCTGCAGACTGCAGAGTATCATACTCATTCCAATTTCTTAGAACTTTGCCAAAATGTAGTTGTTTGAGAGGGAGGTTTGGGATCTGCCCTTGACCATGTATTTTCCAGCCAAGTCCTTTGGGAGAGCAGTTTGAGGCAGAGTGTTGTGTTGCTTTTCACTGGAGAGAAGAACAGCTTGTCACTGGTATTGATGAGTTGGAGCAGAGCTGTGGTTGCAGACAGGACCTGGAATTTTTCTCAGGCTCAGCTTTAGTCACATACAGAGGGAATTTTGAATGGACACAGAAACATCCCTTCAAAAGCTCATTGCTTTTCCCTGCACAAAGTGTCCTGTCTGGGTCTTTGGGCAGCCAGGAACTGGGAGAAGGAGCCCCAGCTCCCCCAAAACCTGGGACTGGAACATCCTGGCAGAGCACACGGGGAGTCTGAGTAGAGGTGGGATGTGAGTCGTGCTGGAACAAGGCTGCTTGGAGCTGAGAGGAATGGAAGAGGGCAAAGGGAGATGGGTAACCAGGAAACTGGGAGGCAGTAGCTGGGAAGGCCATGATAAAAAATTGGGGGAAGAAAATGGTGAGGAAGCCAAGTGGGTGAGACAGAATGGGGGAGGGGGTTAAAGAGGGGCAGGGGAAGGTGGTCAGGCTGGGTCTGAGCTTCCCTCCCTTCTCCTGTCACACCTGTGGTGGGTGAGAGGGTGAGTGTTGTTCCCTGTGTCACGGGCACTTCACAGACTCTGAGGATGTTCTGACCCAGCCAGGCAGGCCCATGAAACCCTCACACTGATCTGGGCACTCACAGAGCAGGGTTTAGTCATCTCTGTTTTTAACTTCTTAAAGAGGTGCAGGGAGCCTGATGTAAACTGTAGGTGTGTCCTTTGCCTACCCCTAATGTCTGCTTTTCTCTGCCTGTCCCACCCTCCCCTCTACTCTTGGCAGGTTGAGGAGCTGAACCCAGGGTTTTCCAAAGCAGGGAGAGTCTACATTGCCAAGGTAACCACCCTGTGCTTCCTCCCCTGCAGGCCTGTGCTGCCAGGATGAGTATTGGTTTAAAAAGTTACCCTTGGCTGCAAAGTGCTAAGCAGCTCTGAATTACTCCTTGCAGAAGCAAGATCCCCTCTTCCAGTTTTCATCCATCCCCCTCATCCCATCCCTCCCTGCCCTTGTCCCAAGCCCCTCCCCAGCTTTCCTGGAGCCCCTTCAGGCACTGGAAGCTGCTCTCAGGTCTCCCTGGAGCCTTCTCCTCTCCAGGCTGAACAGCCCAGCTCTCCCAGCCTGTGACTGTGGTTGGAGCTGGTTGCAGAGCTGATGGCACAATGAACCTCTCATTGAGGGAGGATGAAGGTGCTGCAGGGACTGGTCTGCAGGGACTCAGGGTTTCTGGAGGCTTTGGGGATGTCCATGGCTCTGTTTTGAATTCAGCAGATGCAGAACTGGGGCAGCACTCACAGAACAGATCATTCTCCCCCAGAACTGTCCTACCAGGCAGGAAATTCACAAAACACACACAGGCACTTACCCTGCCATGACATTTAACAGTCTGAAGCCCTCAGCTGTTGTCCTTATCCTTAACTGTTGGCTTTCTGTGGCAATTCCAGCCAGGATTGCATTGCCTGGTTTTTTTTAGCAACCACTTCCCTTTCCCACACTGATTTCATAGTCCCCAGGTGCCTCCATGACTCTCCAGGCACTGGAAACCTTCCTGTTACACGGAGGGATGGCTGTTCCTCTGCTGTTGGAGGGGAGTTCATGGTGAGGAATGTTCCACACCTCCTGTGGGACCTGGGAGACCTGTCAATGCTGCAGTGCTGGCAGCTCAGCCTCAGTTTGAGCAGCCCAGCAGCAAAGTTCATGCCCTCAGGGCAGAGCTCTGGTGGTGGTGGCAGCTGAGGAGCAGTGGGGAGGTGGAAATAGAGCTTTGAAAATGGTGAAGATCAGAGGGACAGCTTAAAGCCTCTAACCAAAAAAACCATCTCCTTGTCCAAAACCAAACCAAAACACACAAAAAAAAGGGCATCTAGTGCTGCAAACCCTGCTGGTGATCTCAGTGCTTTGTGGGTGAGACACAGGGAAAGTCAGAAGCCTGAAACCACAGAGTGGAAATGGCTAAGAGGTAGAAGTAGTCCTTTTCATTGGTTGCCAGGGCCTCTACTTGCTCTGTTTCATTTGCTGCCTACTTTGTCCTGCTTACCTCTTGTCCTGTTGCTGTTTTTCCCTCGCAGTGTTACAGGGAGCTGGGGAACAACTCTGCAGCTGCTCTCTGGATGAATCTTGCCTCGGAGCTGCCAGCTGGTACCAGAGAGGTAGCAGTTTCAGTCAGCACACAGTGGTGATGGGCAGAGAGAAAGTGATTCCAGAGAAACAGTTGTTTTCTGAAAGATGTTCCAGCTTGTAAGCCCAGGCTTTAAACTCTTTCCTTCCTTAGTGTGGACTCTTCTCTGGGGGCCTGTTACTAGAATGCCTGGAGCAATTCAACAAGATAGTGAGAAATGCTGAGGAGCTGAGTGGTGAGATGGGCAGGGCAGCCCTGCAGTGCCCCCAGCAGCCCCTCTGCTGCTCCTGGGGCAGGTTAGAGACACCTGTGGCTGCACTGCAGGTGTCCAGCACTGCAGCCCTTCCACTGGAGAGTCTGCAGACCTGCTGAGCAACTGCAGCACCTCCCCAGCACCCCACCTGAGGCTTTCAGGGAAGGCCAGGAGGGAGCAGCAGGCAGCAAAGCCATCAACAGTTGATTCTCTCCTGTGCTCTGAACTTAAAAGTGGGAGTCGTGTCAGGCAGTGTCACATGTCAGGCAGTGCTGGGGTGGCTCTGGTGAGGTCTCTGCAGGGGGTGGTTCCCTTCATCCATCACAAACCTCCCACCGTGGTGAGAAGGAAGAACAAAAGTGTTTATCCAGTTTGTGAAAGTCAGTGAGGAGCAGAGGTTGGAATTCTGCTGGTTGGGTCATCAGTTCCCATCTCAGAATAGTCTTGGTTGGCAAAGACCTCTGAGATCAGAGTCAAACCATAAGGAAACATGAGAGAAGCTCCTGTTGGATCCTGGAAAACTTCATGTGCCCTTCAGAGACAGGAGCATCCAGAGGGAGGGACAGGGGGCAAAGGAGAGGAGCATTAGGAGGAAGAGTGTGAGGTTGGGGTTTGCTGAAAGCCTGGCATGGGGGTGGGAGAAGAAAAGAGAAATGGTATTTTTAAATTGTCCCAGTGAGTGTTTCTGTGTCCTCCTGTTGCCTTTCCAGGATGCAGAAAGTGAGAGGGAGCTCGAAGAGATGCAGAGCAGCTTGGTGGAGTGAGGGGATGGAGGCCCCTTCCCCAGGGTGCTGCACGGGCAGAGGTGCCAGCTGGAGGCTCTTGGGGTGCAGAGGTGCCAGCTGGAGGCTCTGGGGGTCCCCACAGCTCTGAGTGCCCTGCATGGACAAGCCCCAAGAGGAGAAGAGCAGCAGGTCCAGGAGGAGACCTCGGTGGGAGTTCATGGGATGGAACTTTGTGTTACTTTCCTCCTCACAGCACTGAATATGTTTGTTTTTTAAAATTCCTTTAAAGTGTCACATTCCAAAGAGCTGGTGTGGGGTGTGTAGGTAGAATTTGTGCTACAGAAATGTTTGTGATTATCTCTATGTCATAGATACATGTGAGGTGCACACTTTGTGATACAAAATATATACCTATTTATATGTGCAGCTCTATATTTTCTATCACAAACTCTACCCAGCAGCCTGAGCCTCAGGCCTGCTCAGGGAGCTCTCTCAGCTGATGCCTGAGGAGCTCTACAGCCCCAGGGTTTTCAGGTTAATTGTTTTTCCCTTGATGAGCTGCCCTGGCTGCCTCTGTTGCAGTGAGGGCTGGCAGGGCTGGGGGAGGCAGGTGTGGAGCTGTGGTCCCCGTGTCCCTGCCTGCCACCAGTGCCAGGCTGGAGGCCACAGGGTGTTCTCAGCCCCTTGACTCCTGTGGGCACTGAGGCTGTGACCTCAGAAAAGGTCACTGGAGGAGCAGGAAGGAGGCAGCAGTGGCACAGCCCACGGGGAGGAGATGGGCAGCCAAGTCCCAGCCTTGCCCCTGCCCCTCCCTGGGTTCTCCTGGGGCAGCCAGCACTGCTCCCTGCCCCAGGCACTGCCAGGGACCAGCAGGATTCCCCTCCCTTGGTTTGTAAGGGGTGCATTGCTTCTGTCAGAGAAGTGAACATTCAGGTTTTCAGCTTTCAGGACCTTCCCACTGACCCCTGCACCCACAGGAGACTGAGAACTTCAACCCTCTTAACCCTGCTGGGTTTGAAAAGCAGTTGTTTGTCAGTGAAACCCTGGTCCCAGGAGCAGGAATATCCCCTGGCACAGCTGATGCTTCCTTCTAATGTTCCTCTACCAGTTGTTGACCTGTTCAGTGACACCAGGAAGGTGCAGGTGGCACCTGCCCCTTGCTCTGCCAGCCTCGGGTCCCTGTGCTGCACCCTTGGCACCCCCAGAGGGGCAGCAGCTGGGACAGAAGCCCCCCAAGCACTTCCCAAGGTGCCCCTGGCACCCCAGCTGACCAAACCTGTCCTTTTTAGCTGATGTTTTAACATCTGTCCTGCCCTGCTGGGCCAGTGTCTGGGAAGTGTGAAGCACAGAAGTGCAGGAGTAAAATGTGTCTTCAGCTCACATTTTGTTCAGCCCCTTGCACGTGTTTATCAAGCTGACAGGCTTTTTACTTGATGAAAACACCACAGAAGGGGGAACGTGTGGCTCATTGCAGCCTAAATCCTCCCATTCCATGGATTGGGCACTTCCAGCTGTTTGGGGTGGGGTTTTTTTGTCCAAATTAAACTCTGAAGTGGTGGTGCTGAACTCCTGAGACCCAGGCAAGGAGCTTCGTTTGCTTGGGATGCTAAAAGCTGATACTGGGAGATGGAGCAGTGAGTCCTGGTGGGCTGGGGGGGCCCTGGAGCCCTGAGCAGAGCTCCCCTGGGGCTGGGGGCACCTGCTCCCTCCCTGGGGGTTTTGTGCTTGCTGTGTGCTCCCAGCTCCCCACGGGAATGCTGAAGCTGCCTTTTTTACTGTGGTGTTTGGGATGTTTCCCTGTGAACGACCAGGGTTGGGTGTGGTTTGGTTTTCCTCCCCTTTTAAATCCTTGCACAGGGTTGTTTTCAGCACTTTTTCTTGGCGGTTGCTTGAGCCGAGGTGGGAAACCCCCAGCAGGGATGTCACCCCGAGGGGGTGGTGGGGAACCTGACTCTTCCACAGAGGGTCCTGCTGCAGGGGGACGTGTGCTTGGGTGGCTGTGGGACCAGCTGGCTGTGGAGCTTTTTGACAACCCGCAGGTGCTTTGCAGGCTGATCCAGGGCACAGCGGGGATCCCTGGAAGGCTCCTGCCCTGAGCACCTCCCAGCAGCAGGGAATCAGTTTCCCTGCTGCAGTTTTGGTGGAGAGATCCAGGCTGCTCCCCCCCGGGTGGGTTCTTCTGGACTTATCCCCGGGGAGGGGGGGGGGGAAGAATAATTTCCTGGAGCTACTGGTGTCTTCGTTTAAAACCAACCCTACCTGTGGTTCAGGTACGGTGCTGGCGAGTGCCCGAGGCTGTTCCGATTATCCTCGCGGTGCTGTTCTCTTTGGAAGAAATCATTCCCAGGTCAGGAGAGGGGGATCCTCCCTCAGCTGCCCGTGGTGCTCCCTTGCTTTTCGTCGCCCAAACCCCCCCCCTTTGTCCCACCCCCCC